GAAACTGATGATACAAAATAGAAATGGTGATTTTAAAAATAAAGTCTTGAAAAAGATGAAGGAGGACATGATCGTCTTAAACAGAAATAGACACATCTTCCACCATAACTCAGGGGAGAGTAGAGGATATGGCCATATTTACAGGCAATTTGTTGGGATTAAGGATGAGGCAAGGTGGAATCTATGGCAGTGTCTGTTCTCTCCATGAAGCATGAGGTGAGACCAATGGAGGGTGAAGAGGATTTGGGGAGAGAGGAGAACATGTCAGATAGTTGTCTCTGAGGGTAGAAAAGTGATCTTACTATGGAAGTAGATTAGAAGTGTCCCACATTGTTAGATGCTCATTTGAGACTCATGATCACACATCTTATGTGAACTCAGCAGTTGGGCATGTGATATTCTTCAGCAATGTGGTTAGCTGTTCAGGTGCAGATGCAGAGTACATAGTAGGTGGCATGACTAGAAGAAACAAGTAAGTAACTACAAAGCTTAAGAGAGGAGGAGCTCCCATTTTCAGTGAGCCCCAGAAACTATGAGGTTTGACCCATATTTTAAACCCACTTCTGACTACATCCTAGACCCAGATATTTTCCACTGGAGAGAGGAGGGGAGAGAATATCTCCATAGGAGGCAGCACAGTGGCAAGAATGGAGTCAGGTCCTTGTCACCAAGGACTTTTCAAAACTACACTTGCTTATTCTTCAGTGACGCTGGAAAACAGCACCCCAGGGGACATATAGATCCAAAATGGAGAATTTCTGCTTTACTGGGCACTATTACTGATGGGAGTGGATAAAATTCCTCAAGGGAATAGAACAGAAAAACAAATTGTGAATTACTGGCACAGTTCATAGGCACCTAGAGATAAAGAGGGAATCATGAGGACACAACATGATTTAACTTTTAAGAAAAAGTCAGACCAAACCTCTCACTTCCTTTTCTGAGTGCAGTAACAGACTGTTAGATTAGGAGAGCTGGGTGAGCACAGTGACTTTGTTCTATGGAGAATGAGAGAGGGAGCTCTCCAGAAGGATGTAGAAAGATGACAGAGTAATACTAAAAGTCTAGCTGACGTTGAATGTCAGGGATGGTGCTGATCTCCACTCTTGGGTAATGTCCTCCCTCAATTCCGAAAAGCAAGAATATTAGGATCAGAAGCTGAGGTATTTGCATTGACTCAGTTTTGGACATCTGCCTGGTCTGAATGGCAGGCAAATCCAGGGACAAAGACATTGAAAGTCTGGGTGAGAGGACTGAAGTGATTAGCCTGGCACACAAGGTTAACTGTGAAGAGGAGGGCATGAGAAGACTAGGGGACTGAAATCACTGGGGGACACGTGCAGACTAGCAGCCACAGTCCTGTTGGACAGAAGAGTTGGCTGGGTGAAATCACAGCATGGGTAACGTGGTGGGGTTAAGGGTTGTGGTCATCTAGTGAGGTGATCATTTTTTTATGCGCATTTCCTGGTGAGGAATTAGATGCTTCTGACAATTGCCACTTGTGTGCCAGCCTAGGAAGTCCAGCCTTACGTCTTTCAGAGGCAAGAGAAGGCAAGAACGATGCATGTGAAATTACTCCTGAAAGTCAAAGTCTTTCTTGTTCAGAACTGTTGACGTTGAGTTGTTATTAGGGCATACGGGCCTTGGTCTGATCAGCTTAGTAACTCATGTTGTTAATTTTCATTTGGGATTTTTAAATACTTTTTCATAAAAGAGAAAAACAAACCTGTCTCTCTGTTTTTTTTTTTTTTTTTTTTTTTTCTACCAATATAATTTAAAAAGACAGGCTTGATAAGACCTGCAGATGGGTCATGCTGGGCCTTGCCAAAGTATGGGATCACAGTGTGAAGTAAAGCCCATTAATTGCAGCAGTTGATGACTCCAGCAGGGAATGGGGCTTACAATGAGACGTTCTCAAAGCTTGCCGGCCACTGGAGAGATTGTAAAATTGAATCAGTTATTAGCACATATTCAGGAGAAGGCTTATTTGAAGTTGGGCAATTTCTAGCTTTTTATGGACAGACCAGATCCCTCTTGACAGTTCTGTTAAGTCTAGTGTTCCATGAAATTTCACCAAGACCTTTGATATTATATCCATTTCCTTAATTGTAAACACATATTTCTTTTCTAATGCAAGGTTTCTTCTTAACTTTACGGAGCTGTCAATGACAGAGGAAGCTTGGATACCACATATGGAAATGACAAAAGTGGTTTATGAACCTGGTTTAGCTAGCACGTAAAGAGTACTGTTGGATTTATTTAGGTGATCATCTTTTGATGAATGTAATCTTGCTAGTATCATCTTCTGCTTATCACGGAGCTATACACCAAAACTGGGAAAGGCATCTGGAAACATCTGGCCCCTTCCAAAGCAATAACATTGTAGTGTATTTTCCTGACATACTACCCAGACTTTTCCAATTGCTTTGGGTCTTACACACTAAAAGTTCTCAAGAGGAGGTACTGGTTTGATTTTTTTATATTTTCTTTTCCCCAAACGAGCCATCAACTGGAAATACACGTTTCCATTTTACAATTGTACTCTAATTACTCGTTTAAATGTCTGTCTCCTTACTTGGTTAGCACTTCAAGGAAGGAAACATGTATTCATCTCTGTAACCCCCATGTAGAGCTGAATATATATGCTGGGACTGTAGCCCGTAGCAACAAGGACCAGTAGGTGAGTAGCTGTGCTTGAGAAGATGTATTGCAGTATTGCTAAAATGGTAGCAAAGTGGGACTAACCTGAACGTCCATCGACTAGGGGATAATGGAAAAAGTTATGGTAAATCTATATAATGGAATATCATTTAGGTTTGAAAAAGAGTGAGGGAGAGCCACGTCTCTTAACCTAGAGGGAGGTCCATGATATATTATCAAATGAGAAAAACAACTTAACAAACGAAAGCACAGAGTATGATTCCAAATCGTAAAAGTAAACAGTGGCACCCTGCGAAAAGTCTATGTGTTCACAGCTGTGAAGGAACACTCCCTCGGCTATCACAGGGGTTACTGTGGAAGACGATGAGAAGGGAGAAGACAAAAATACAGCAAATCTGTAAAATACACAAAAATACACAAAATGTAAAGATACTCATGCGATACTGCAAAGGGAAAAGGTAGAATGCACGTTTTCAGCAGTAATTTTTTAAAAGAACAGTTGACCTTTATCGAGAGCGTACTGATCAATGTCAGGCATGGTTCTCAAGGCTTTGCATAAGACTATTTCACTTACTGCCCGCACCAGCCCTGTGAGGTAGGGACTATTATTTCCCTCATGTCATAAGTGAAGAAACTGTGGCCCAGAGAGGTTAATGAATTGACCTGTGACGACACAGCAAGTGGCAATGCTAAGAAAAAATATGAATAGGCAAAAAAAAAAAAAAAAAAAAAAAAAAAAAAAAAAAAAAAGAGAGAGAGAGAGAAGAAACTGCATTTTTTTTTCTAGAAATTAAGCTGATCAAATGAAAAGAATCAATTTGGTCAGGTGATAGAACTATGAGTTATTTTGTCTTGAATATTTGCTATTATTTAATATTTAATTTTACTTTGGAGTAAAGTAAAATTATTAAAAATAAATAGAAAAAAGGTGTGGTGATTTTAAAACATGCCATCAAATCTTCCTCCTACTGAGAGGAGAGTTCCTTGCTTCTTCCCTTTGGAGCTGAGCGGGGCTTGTGGGCGCTCCGACCAACCACAGAGGTGAAGTACCTGCCTCTTTGTGTGTTTTTGGAGGCTAGGTCAAAAAAGGCAACACACCTTCCTCCCAGCTCCCTTTCTGAACAGCTGGTTCTGGGGGACCAGCCACCATGGTGTTGAGTCCCACATGGAGATAGATGTACTAAGGCCCCAGCCAACAGGCCGCATCGACTGCCTACCTTCCGATGGTTCTAGCCCTCAGCCTTAGAATCTTTCAACCAAGGCCCCAGACATTGATGATCAGAGACAAACTGCGCTGGCTATGTCAGCTCCAAACGTCTGACCCCCAGAATTGGATTTTTTTGTTTGTTTGTTTTTGTTGTTATTGTTTGATTTGGGGTGGTTTTTTTTGTTCTTTTTTGCTTTTTTTTGGTTTTTTGTTTTGTTTTGTTTTGTTTTTTGTTTTTTTGGCTCCTAAAATACACAGTCGATAGAACAGGTGCAGTGATATTTGTCAATTTAGGGTAGGGTTCCCCTTTATCTCATTTTTCTAGTCCCTTCAGGCATATTGTGATGATGAATTTTATATGCCAATGAAGTTAGGCCATGGTGCCCAAATATTTGGTGAAACATTGTTCTGGATGCTTTCGTGAAGGTATCTTGGGCAAGATTAACATTTAAATTGGTGGACTTTGAATAAAGCAGACTACCCTCCATAATATGATTATCCTCATCCCATAAACTGGAGACTTTAAGAGAACAAAGACGGGTCTCCCCTGAGCAAGAAGAAATTCAGCCAGCAGTCTGCCTTTGCATTCAAACTGAACCTCTCCCTGAGACTCTAGGCTGCCAATCTACACCATTAGGTTTTGGACCCACCAGCACCCGCACAATCATGTGAGACAATTTCTTAAAATAATTTCACCCCTCCTCTCTCATTCTCTGAGAACCCTAATACACATATTGGGGTGCCTTTAACTGTGCTTCTCAAACTCCTCACAAATCCTCCCAGCTAACCTCACTATAGGAAACATAAATCCCCTCTGTTGAACTTCAGATGTAGTTGACGTATTTAAGGGGGCTGGAAAAGAGACTAATGCTAGCTGGAGAGCCAACCTTCTAAACCTCTTTCTTCCACTTCCCCCCTCTTTAGGGAAAAATCATAAACAATATGATTGCCAATAAGTGATCAGCACATACATAGGATGACAACATCAAGGGTAGGAAAATCTAAGCAGATAAAGGAAGTAAATCAACTGTGGCTTCTGCACTGAAGTGGCTTCGCAGAATTATGTAAGACACTAAGAATGCCCAAGTGACAGAATGATCAGGTTGAGGCAAAGCCGAAGGATGGAGCTTACCCCTCAAAGCAGTGGGCAACCGTCAGGACCCACTTCTTGGCAATGAGGACACAGCCACAAATGTGTCCACTGGGTTCACTCTGCAGGGAACACTGCCATGGCCATCTTCCAGGACGACTCGTTCGACCCCCAAGGATCCTCTTGTTCATTCGGGCAGCAGGGCGGTGCCCACAGTCTACCAGGGAGCAGGAAAGACAGCGGGTGATTCACCAACAAACCCAGCCCCATGCTTGGATCTTTGCTGTTAAGCGCAAGTTATTGTTTTTGCCCCGAGCCAACCCAGTGAAGTTCGTATTCTGTTGCTACACCACTAATTCTCTCACCTTGTTGAGTACACAGAAGAGAAATCTTACTTCTGCTCTGACAAGGCTGCCTAGATTTGGAAACATAAAATGGCATAGTGTTAAGTCACGTATTTATCACTCACTTCAAACACTTTAGCACCGAAAAGCAAGACATAGGTTCCACTGTTCCCAGAGGTTGTATTCTTTGAGTAATGGTTATCGGTACTGGTGCAGGAATTCTGGAGGCAGGGCTATTGTCAAATACCACCTTGGAAATGACGGCATATGGAGGAGGTTTACTTTTTTTTTTTTTTTTTT